AGTAAATTCTCCTTTTTGGCCTAGAAAATTATAGAGTCTATAATATTTTATATATATTACGAATTACCTTAAGTGACATTTGCACAATTGATAATATTATGAAAATGGCATTTCAATACTCGTGAAAGGCAATACGGGAGCCGTGGGAAGAACCTTGGACATAGGCATACGCAGCTTTGTTGCTGCGGTAACCTTCAGCTAGTCCGTTTCTCTTCCTGGCGCACGAGTTCTCCTGTTTGTAGATGATTGTGTTGGACATCAGGTGTAAGCATTCTTTCTATATTCGGACTGTTTTGAATAATAAGTAAAATCAAGATCACTTAAAATGGAGGCACTAAACTCACTGTAGTCATATGAGCCTTGTTTTAATAACAGCTAAAGTGCCCTATTTCTTCATTATATTCAAAACGCAAACCAAACGGCTATCCAAAAAAAACCAGTGCAATAGGAAAAAATAGCCAAGCATTGATTTTGAGGGATTTATTATAAATATTACAAATCAAACTATTCATTTCACAATGTTTTTAAGGATATGCTCCCCAAATATAAGGGCTACAGCAAAATATGACAAATTAAATGTACTGTAGTGAATGAATTAAAAAAGCAAAGGTTATTCGGTTCAAAGAACCATTCTTATTCTGAAATTATGTATTTCAAATATTTTAGTGTTATGATACAATATTTCAATGAATTATTGTTGATGGTAAATAACATCAATAGTGATCTTGTATTGCTATTTTTATTGTATCACTAACAATTTAAAAATTGTGGGTCTTATTTTTACGTTAATGTCCTTACTTGTCAAGTTAAACTTTTAGCAGGTTATTTGCTGCTCAGATTTATAGGACAATTTATATGTATATATAATTCAAAGAATTAAAATGAATTCATGCCAGCTGTCATAAGCCCCACCAGATGTTTTACCATGGGGAGACCTAACGCTAGGAGAAGGACGGCTGGAGCCTCAACAGTCACCTTCTTCCTCTGTTCTGGCTGGAGCAGATCAGAGTAGGTGCTCCCAAAATTCGTTTCCGTTTCTCACTTGGATGTTATTGGGAGCGTCCCACTCCTCTCATGGACACAAGAGAGAAATGGTAGTGTTTCAACCATACTGCTTTTAACATTTGAGCAGACAAGAAACAGTAAGAAGCCTTTCAGGAAATATTTGCTTTCAGAGTAATTGAAATGCTTAAGGCATTAAGGAGCTTTAGAGATCATCAAATCTAAATCTCCGTCTTACAGATGGAGAAACAAGGGTGCCTAAAGGGGAAAAAACTTTCCCCAAGTTGCACTGCCAGTAAGTATTTTAAGTAAGACTCCTCTATGTCATCTATCTTGTCCCAAACCACTGCTTCCTAGTGCACCTTGCTTCCAATTACCTACCAAAAAAACCCTCCGACTTTATTGGTTACACATCACTTATGGTATTCAATAATTCTAGTGTGGTGGCGTGGGATCTGGTGGTGTAATCATCCAAACTGATACTGAATCAAGCAGGCTGTGTACTTTAAGACTTGGGTTCAGCTAAAGGAATAGAATCATGAATAATAGATATTAAATGAACTTCAGAAAAATGTACCAAATAAACTCAAACACGGGAAATGACTTCTGTGTTAATGAGAAACTGGAGACCAAACCCCTCTCTTTCAAAGCGATGTGTAATGGGCTCCTCGCTATGCGTTACTACCTAAAGGAATGGGGCTGGGTTTCATGGCCTTTCTTCTTTGTTTGTTTCCAAAGTCAACATAGCATACATGGTAGTATTTAAATAAAAGAGGATATTGATTTGAAGATGTGCACTCTTATACACCATATACAATCTATACCAAAATATATATACACTTTATATCCTATATATTTTAGTACTATGTAAGTGTACATAATTTTATATGCTCTATATACTATATTGAATACTAATACAAACAGATATGGGTGTTTACAAATGGACAATAAACACAGGTGCACATGTGCACATACACGACTTCCACACACACAGTGGCAGTTTACTATAAGTCAACACCAATTGTAAGACACAATCCATTTCTGAGATGCTAATACATATATAATATATGTGTATGTGTTTACAATATAGTAGGTATATTAGTGTTGAAAAATACGTTTCACCTGCATTGATATCTTTAATCAATTAAAAATAGTATACTAAATTTTTGGTGCCAAGGCTTTGTGGGCACAAGGACAGACAGAACTAGTACCAAGGCGAATGCAACTGTTTAGTATGGTTTCTGCAGTAGAATTGGCAGAGAAAATACCAACTATTTGTCATCTTTTGACAGAACTAAAATTTGTAAAAGAAGTTGGTCAATATATTTGGGTACAAAATCAGTCAAGCAATAAAAACAATTTTTGCCTCTCCAGATTTTTAAACCCAAATGGTATTTAACTTTTCACAAACCAGATGAGTATAAAGAAGCTAAGTAATTTTTCTATCTGCTTTTAGTTTAGTCCTTTCTAAAAGTAAAATAATGCTCATGTAACCTCCTACAAAGACTCTTAATTATTAATCAATACCAAGAACTTTCATCTAGGGTCTGTAATTTTAATTTCTTTAGAGTTCTAAGAAGTAAAAATAATAGTTCAAAAAAGTGAAGTAGCTTGCCTATGATGTTCAATGAATTTAGTGCTAGTGCATGGCCTTTATCACAGGTCATTTTGATTTATTTGTCCGCTGCTCCTTGAAGAATGAATGTTCATTCTCTTACTTTATTTTTGTTGTTGTTTACACTGCAAAACACACACCACATTCAAGTTTCTACTTGTCAGTGATATTGATTGCATTCTTAAACTTTTGAACCATATTTCATCTCCCCACTTCTCCCTGTGAACATATATATCACCTAACTTTTCAATTAGCAGTTGTCTATTTCATTCCATATTGTTAGTTCTTCAAAGAGTATAATACGTAAGGCAGAAATATAATAATACTTTAATTAAACTATTTGTTGCTTTTAAGGAAATTAAAGCCATATTTGTGGCTAAAAGTTTAAAGATTATCTCACAGTAATAGTTTCAGAGGTTCATCCAGTTATCTTGGTTCCAGAAAGTCTGAAGTCCATGTAAGTGTTTTCTGTCTTTTCTGGTTTAGTTTAATGAAAAAAATGTACATTCCTAAAGGGAGTGCAGTTAGAAAGCTAATTCCATCTTTTTGTTTCTGCCTTTGGCCTGCTTGCTCACTGCTTTGACTCTCATGCCCGTAGGCACATCTTTTCCTGGCTCAGAGAATGCCAACCAGGCTTGAGAGGTCTGATGACCAGAAATAAACAGCACTGACCTGTTCTTGACAGAAGACACCTGTGAAGAAAGGAAAGCACAGAGTGAAATAGCTGTGATTTCTACACGTACCAAAAGTGGGATTTACAAAACTAAGAAAACCCCATTTGGATTATTTCTATTTCAAACATTTTGCTATTTCAGAAAGTCATAGCATGAGTACTTCATTTTTTTCTTTTAACACCAGCCCTCTTAGGGAAGTGAGGATTTCTCTGTAAGTGATGTAAGGGCATGGAGCTTGAGAGGGCAATGTGTGGGGAGGACAAGGGGAATCGGGAGAAAATAGGTTTAGGATGTGGAGATTCAAGTTCTAGGCCTGACTCAGTCACTAATCTACTGGGAGAATGACCTCCTTACCCCAGCTGTGGCTCTGGAGAAGTTGCAGTGACGTCAACTACTTCTAACTTTCTATTGTACAATTCAGTGCAGTCAGTCTCTCCCAGAGCTTTTGTTACCAGTTTTTGGAGAAGCACTTGACTTGTTTATGCTTTGAACTCAAAATTACTCTTCTGTCTTGTATATTTAGATGTAAAGATATGGTCCTAATATAGACTCTCATGAGTATGCTTCTTCCTAGATGCAATTCATAGCTCCTGATGTATCTCTCTACATTCCTTAAAGAGAAAGAAGAAGACCTCTAGGCCATCTTTCATCTTTTTTCTTTCCTCTCGCTTATGTTTGGATGAACGATGTTCTGTTGTGGATAATTCGCTCAGTGGTTAATGACATAATCAAAGGCATAGTTCTCATCCTGCTATGAGCTCCTGACTTTTGATCTCCGCACTCCCAGTCCAGCACGCCTTCTCGCATGCAACCCCAAGGAGTCCTCAGAGAAAGGGCAAGCACAGCCCCCTTCCTCACTGGCCTGCACTTATGAGAGAACAAATCAACTGCCTCAACCTGTATTCTTGACCAGTGGAGGTAAGGAAATGGTCATTGTGCATCTACCATGGTGATTTCCAACCTAGCTGATACATAAATAGTCTATTTGGTGATTATTTAAAAATACAGACTAAGGTCAATCTCTAAAAATATTATGTTTATGTTTTTGTCCTCATTCCACATGAATAACTTGTATGACCAGGCAAAAGATTTACTATAGCAACTTCTAAATTTCTTCACTATGTCAAACTGTGATCAGAAGTGAAGAGACTTTATCTAACATATTAGGCAAGCCTGCTAGAGCAGGATTAACATTCTGTCTGTGCCCAATATGGAACCTGTTTTATTAAACATAATAATGATGATGATGATGATATTATTAGAAATTATTGGTTGAACGCTTACTTTCTCTCAGCCACTATCTTAAGAGCTTTAACTGCATTTCATTTAATTCCCCATATGGGGTAGCAGTTTAATATCCAAATTTACAGGTAAGGAAAATGGCTTCCAGAAAGGTTACGCTGCTATAAAATAGATATGCCAGGACTAAAATTTATTCATCTCCATCTCAACATTAATGGTCTTAGACACTGTGTGTAACTAGTTCTCAATGGACTCTTAGGACCAAATGTTTTGATAACCTATGTGTATTTATTAATCAGATGTATTAAGTTAGTCCACTCGGTAAAGTGACGCAATAAGAAATTAGTAATTAATCTATTTGATGTTTGGCAGATGAAGATTCAAATTCTGGATCTCCCTTTTTTAGTTGTAAGTCTTCAACATCCCTGCATCACTTTTTCTGACAGGTAAATTAGGAATATGAATACCTTGTGTATGTGTACTGGAAATAATATATAAAATCCTTAACACAATGCCTGGAATCTAGTGTATGCTCAATAAGTGAACAGGCAATGTTGGCATCATGACCATTTTCATCATCACAGTCTTCCTCGTTATCCTGATTCTGATCTTTCAGAAACAGTAATTTATATCTAAGTTGTTAGAATTTTTTAAAATGGTGGATACAAACTATTGTCCTTCCCAGTTTGGAATAAACAGGTTCATTTTTGAAGAAAAACTCACCTGAGAAGAAGCAGAACAGAGCCAGAGAGAGGAGCAGGAAGGCACCTGGTGTTCGCATGGTGCCAGTTAGCTCCTCAGGTCAAGACCGCTCTGTCCAACCAAGGTTCTCTCTCAAGACGCCTTCCAGGAAGCACTAACGCACACGCACATATATATAGAGACACGATAGAGGGAGCTGAGATCTCCACCTTAGTTATAAAATCACAGTCTAGAGCCATACGCAATCCTACACACTTTAGCTATTTATTGGGCCTGTCACTAACTTAAAGAAATGCTTCATGTTACACATTAATTTAAGAAATTAAGACAATTATGTGAGTCATACTTCAGATCTTACTAATAGAGGATGTCATTTTCCACCACTACTTTACATTTTTCTAACCGCCAATACACCCTCCCTGTTCTTCCCTTCATGTTGCCACTGCATTAAAGGGATGATTCATTAATGAAGTTTCCCTTGATCCCCGAGTCCCTTTCAGACAGGTCCTACATGTCTGGTGCAGGTGAGTAACCACAGGGGAATGGAATTCTGGGCGTCACGTGGATTTTCAGAGTCCAAAGTAGTCCAGCTGTGCCGAGAGGAAGCAGGGATTCTACCTGGTCTGAAACTGCATAAGAACAAGCATTTTCTGGGCACGAATCTGTTTATTTTTACTCATGACTTTAGTCAAGTGATTTTTAATTTTCTAATTTAGATGATCAAATATTCACAATATATTTTGTTAAATTTGTAAAAAATATATTTCACTCATGCTTACTAATAGATTTGAAATAATGGATGTTTACACTTTTCAATATTTTTTGCAAAGCAGAAGGTGTAACTATAGTAAAGTTCTCTGTATTTTAGTTCCTAAAAAGGATGCATTTCACATTCACTAGATTAAACTCATAAATTTTCACAGCCAATTAAATTGTAAAACAGACCAAAAAGAGGTGGAATGGCATACTTCCTTTGTAGGAGCAGAGAAGAAAATGAATGACTGTAGTGATAAGGAGAAAGTCTGTCATAATTCTTTCATGGCTACTTAAATAATATTGTGTCACTTTGAAGAAAACATATGCATGCAATGCTACGATATCCTTGATCTAGAACATTTCTGTCCTTTCTGGGAGATGCACTTGTAACGAAATTCTAATTTGATTCCACTCAATATGTAAGATAACTTCGCTGTCTTTGGGAACTGTAAAGAAAGATTATTGAGTTTGATCACCAAACAACATAGAGGTTTTGATTTCAAAAGGATCATGACTATGATGTGAACAAAATGATTTTCTTTTGTTTCTAAAGCAATTCTTAAAAAGCTGAATTTGAAGAGAAGATAAAAAAGCAAAAGAAACGTCTCAGAAGAAGAGAAAGGAATAAAAGGGAGGAGAAGCTGCACTTGCAGCATTCAAAGCAGTTTCCTTCCCAAGTGGTGTGAACACACGCACACAATCACAATTCTTTCCAGAGAGTTGTCAGTCAGATGTTAGGCTCTAAGAGTTGCAGAAAGTAAGGCGTAATCTTAAAGATCAGATTTCTATTTTTCCTGAACACTTTATGAGGAGTCTGAGGGTATTTATAAAATTATAATAAAAGTGTTAAATTGCTTAAGGAAAGTCGTGATATTTTCAAATGACAGATGTACAATTTTGCCTACCTGTTAAGCTATTAAGATCCTTTTGCCTTGTTACATGAGATAATGTTCCAGCTATGCTGTGAAACTTTAGAACACATCATGGACACCTGGGTTTCGGTGTTACTGCTAGTTTTCTTCTTCCTTCCCCTCCCACTCTCAAGACTTCCTCCTCTCTTTGACCTTCTCCCCTTCTTCTCCATTGTTGGAAATGTATAGGGTGATCTATGCATAAAATGCCATCTGTTCATAAGCATTACCAATGAAAAATAGTAGACTGGTAGTCAGTGTGTGTTCAATCCTAAATTCCTTGGTAGCCTTTTGAAAATTTCTGTTTTAATTCTGCTCTCATCCCAACTTGTTAATTATGGCCCTTGCTCCTCATGCTTCATTCTAAACCATGAACAAATTTCACCTAAACGTTGACCTTGTCTTATTCATCATCTTGTTTATCCTTCTCAGCCTCTGACAACCTTCATGCTCTTTTCCTCAATAAAAGATTTTTTTGCCCTTTCTTGTGTAGAATGATTGCATCTTTTCTGAAAGTTTTTGATTCTGCATTTCCAACATTTACTTTAATCATCAAATGAAGTACTGGATCAGAAAAACATGGGAATTAATTCCTTAGTGATGTAGGGGGATAGTATAAGATATACACAAATGTATATATGTATATATACACATATACAAATGTATATATGCACATTGTTTAATAGAACATTTATTTTCTCTGTAAATTATCACCCAATCCACCATAAACCTTTATATATATTAATATATAATGTATTATACATAAATATAAATATTTTATCATGAATTAGATGACAATTTGCAGAGCATATCTGTTTTCTTTTTAAAATCATTTTATTGGGGGCTTGTACAACTCTTATCATAATCTATACATCCCTTACATCAAGCACATTTGTACATTTGTTGCCATCCTCATTCTCAAAACATTTTCCTTCTTCTTGAGCCCTTGGTATCAGCTCCTGATATTTTCCCCTCTATTCCCTCCCCCACTCCCTCACAAACCCTTGATACTTTAGAAATTATTATTATTTTGTCATGTCTTACACTGTCAAATGTCTCCCTTCACCCACTTTTCTGTTGTCCATCCCCCAGGGAGGGGGTTATATGTAGATCCTTGTGATTGGTTCCCCCTTTCTAGCCCACCG